GCTGGAGAATTCTTAGAGAGCACTCCTTTTCCGATCATCGGTACATACAATTCGCTTTGGACGAAGCGCGTCCTAAGTACAAACCTTACAGGAATCTGTGGAGAACCAACTGGGACTTATTCTGTAGAAGTCTGCAGGAATAGCTTCCGGTTGCGCCCGTGGGGGGCGGGACCTGGAGTGAAGGCGAAATTGACGAATTAATTGGAGTGTTCACCACTTCGTGTAAAAGGGCCATTGATATGTCTTGTCCCCTGAGTTACTACAAAGGTAAGAGCAAACCGCTCTGGTGGTCGGAGGAGCTCTCTGATCTTAAGGCCTCGAGCAGAGGCCTTTTCAATAGGGCCAGGAAGAGTAAATCAGCCTCCGACTGGGCACTGCATAAGATTGGGCTTGGGATATATAAGTCCGAGATCAGAAAAGCGAAGCGGACATCGTGGAGACTGTTCTGCGAAAGCCTGGAGGGTAGTCAGGAGTGTTCAAGGTTTCGGCGAATCCCGCTACCCTGGGATACAGCAGGGATGAGGGCGGCGGCTGGGCAATGAGCAGAGAGGAGTCTCTTCGGATGCTCCTTGATGCTCATTTCCCCTGCAACCCGGACCCGGGAGGGATCCGGTTAGAGGAGTCGATCCCCGAGACGAATGTCTCGGAAATCCTAACCATGGATCGCCTTCTTTGGGCCATTGGCTCCTTCAAGCCCTTCAAGGCCCCGGGCCCCGACGGCATAATACCGGCCCAACTGCAGAAATCTGCAGAAGTGTCGTGCCGTTGGTTGATGCCCATTTTCGAGAGTTGTCTGGCTAAGGGTCATGTTCCGGGGCCTTGGAGGGTGGTCAGAGTCGTGTTCATTCCCAAGGCGGGTAAAGCCTCTCATGTATCACCCAGGGATTTTAGGCCGATAAGCCTCTCCTCGTTTCTTCTGACGACGCTGGAGAGGCTGATCGATCTGCATTTAAGAAGCGGGATCCTCAGGGAGCGTCTTTCCTTGGATCAGCGTGCTTACTGCAAGGGCAGGTCTGTCGAAACGGCCTTACACACAGTCGAAATCCTTCTCGCAGAAGGAATTTGCGGTCGGTGCCTTCCTTGATATCGAGGGGGCTTTTAATAATGTTTTGCCTGAGGCTGTAGTTAACTCCCTAAATAAGCTAGGGGTCGGAGCCGACGTTGTCAGGTTTATTTACCGCTTGCTTTGCAATAGAACTGTCGCGGCAGAGTGGGGCGACGCTTCAATCCGGAGGTGGGTGAGTAGAGGTACTCCGCAAGGGGGAGTTCTCTCGCCATTACTTTGGGTCGTTGTAATCAATGACCTGCTGGTGGCTCTGGAAAGAAGTGGCTGTCGGGTGGTTGCCTATGCCGATGATGTAGTATTGATAACAAAAGGAAAGTTCCCGGAAGCACTATTTGAGCTTATGCAGGGTTACTTGAGCTTGGTTGAGAACTGGGCTTCTAGCTGCGGGCTGGGTGTAAATCCCAGTAAAACGGAGCTTGTTCTCATTACTAGTAGGTATAAGATACCGAATTACCGTCTTCCCTCTATTGGTGGTCTTCCTCTGAGGCTTTCTGACAGGGTGAAGTACTTGGGCTTGATCCTTGACAGTAAGCTTTCCTGGAAGCCTAATGTGGGGGAAAGAGTCAAGAAGGCTACAGTAGCACTGTATTGTTGCAGAGGGGCCATTGCAAAGCGCTGGGGCCTCTCGCCGAAGGTAGTGCATTGGCTCTATGAAATTATAATCAAGCCAATCTTATTATATGGGGTACTCGTCTGGTGGAACGCATTGACAAGGCCTACATCGTCAAGCAGCTGGAGAAGGTGCAAAGAGCTGCCTTAATTGGAATCAGTGGGGCACTTCGAACCACACCTACTCTTGCGCTTAATGCCATGTTAAATGTTGTGCCTATAGACATAGCTGGCAGGGTTGCCGCTGCGCTTGCCGCAGTAAGGCTAAGAGGGGTGGACTTCAAGTTCACCTCGAGCTATGGGCCCTCCAGAATTCTAAGAGACTTCGGGTTCCTACCGACTCGGATAGACCACTGCAAGCCGGTTCTGGGTCCGAATGGATCTTTTAGCACCCACATTCCGGCGAGGGAAGACTGGGAGGGGTGCTGTATCTTGAACCGAGGACCTGTAAACTTATTTACAGATGGGTCGAAGCTGGATGGGAAGGTGGGCGGAGGTGTCTTCTGCGAAGAGCTCTCCATCAACCTGAAATTTAGGCTACCGGATCACTGTAGTGTTTTTCAGGCTGAGGTGGCCGCAATAAAAGAGGCTTCGTTTTGGTTGCTCTCTAGTGTAACATCTGTTAAAGAGGTAAATATCTATTCTGACAACCAGGCTGCCGTCAAGGCTCTTGGCTCCCTGACGGTGCGTTCGAAAACGGTGAGGGAGTGTTTGACTTCCCTGTCGACCGCGTCTAACTATTTTGCTATTAAGCTTATTTAGGTCCCAGGTCACAGCGAAATCGCTGGCAACTGCATGGCTGATGAGCTAGCAAGACAGGGAACCCTCGAGGAATTACTTTCGGATAGGGAGGGTCTGGGGGGCTCCTCTGACCTCGTGTGGTCTGCTTCTGGACAGATGGGCGTTTAGTCAGCTCAGCGAGCGCTGGGCGAACACCTTGGAGTGCAGGGTGGCAAAGTCTTTCTGGCCACGGATGGACCGGGGGCGGTCTAGGGAGCTCTTGAGACTAAGCAAGCTGCATCTCTCACTATTGGAGGGAGTGCTTACTGGTCACTGTTTGATTGGTAACCATGCGGTAAGGCTGAGTGTCCCGGTAAGCGTGAGTGAGCTGCATGGAGGACGATGAGGTGGAATCATCTCAACATCTGCTGCTCTGGTGCCCTGCCTTTGCGATCCTAAGATTTAAGCACCTTGGGTCGCACTTTTTTCACACTCCCGATGAGCTCTCGGGTGTGGACATCAGTCGACTGAAGAGCTTCGTTGTGAGCACGGAGCGTTTCTCCGGCAAAAAGCCATAGGTGTCGTCTTT